GCTGTTTGAAGCAAAGTTTAAAGCCATTTTTTGGTTTTATGCATGCGAAAAGCCAGCTGCAAAAATTAATTACAAATTATTAGAAGTAGCAAAGCAGAGGGAGAGGGAGTGAGAGAGAGGGAGGGGGAGAGCAAGAGGAAGCTGCAGAGATGCCACAGCAGCCGCTGTCGGCATAAATTAAGCAAATATGACCAGAGCAGGGGCCCGTTGAGGGCGTTGCTTTCGACTGGGGGCGGGGCGCGCTGGTACTTTGCTTCATAAAATTATGAAATGGAACATTAAGGAAAATCATCAAGCAACATTTAGCAGCAGCAGCAGCTAGTAGAGTAGGAGATGCTTTATAGGGGCTGCATGTGGTCAATTACTTCTGAGCTATGCACAGCACACAGGTTGCCTTCATGTGGCGGTCAAGCAGGGTGGGGGAGTGTGAAGAGGTTCTCTGTGCAAATTGTTGATTATGCGCAACGTTTAGACCATAATTTGTATGCAAATGAAGTAGAAGATGAAGTATTGGTGCAGCCAGAGAGAGAGAGAGAGAGAGAGTGAGAGAGTGTGAGTGAGAGAGAGAGAGAGAGAGAGATAGAGTGAGATGAAACATCTCAAGAAAGCTAGAGAAAGCGCTGCACAGGAAGAGACAAGAACAACTTCAAGACGGAACTTGTTTAAATATAATTTTGATGAGCATGTCATCAAATTGATTTCTAAAGCAGTCAAGGCTGAAAACTGAAATATAAAGGAAAACTTGCTTAAGATATTTGCTGAAAGTGATTTTGATTTGAAAGTAAAATAAAGCAAACATTTATGAAATGTAATGTATAATGCAGAGTGTAAAGAGCCTATGACAAGCCTTTTCCAGCCTGAAAGGGAACTCTGATTATATAAACTATAATTCTTAAATCAATATCTTGTGAACCTCCTTTTCACCGTAAAGCCTCAACAGTTCCTATCACTAAACCAAGCGATAAATTTCTCTCTTCGATGCTCGAGGAGCAACCTGATGAATTGCTTTATCAAGTTATTTTAGTCAACCACAACTTGGGTTAAATTGGTAAATTTAAAGCGAGCGTAATATTGGACATGATGATATTATCTGTTTATACGCTCCGGTTGCAGTCATCAATCACGTGCATTTGATTGGAGATAATCGAAGCCATATTGCGTGTCTCTCTCTAATCCTTGCCCTTTCTCTCTCACACACACTAGCATGAAAGTCACTTGAACAATATTTTTGGTTCAATAGTTGCGCACATTCTTTCATCTTAAGAGCATGAAAAAGGGCAGAGCGGCAAGGGGCGTGGCTGCGCCTTATTGCCCATTAGTGCTCGTTAGTGCTCTAGGGAGGTTTTGTTGGGGGAGGGTTTATCGAAAAGTTGGGGTCAGGCGATGACAGCGACATTCTTCTTGTTCGACACGCCATCTAGCGACAGGCGACGGCAACAGTAGCAACATCATCAGCAGCAGCAGCAGAGGCAGCAGCAGCCTGATGCGTGCACCGTTGACAACCATTTTGATTGATCGCCTTTGATTGATTGATGTGAGACAGAGAGTGAGCTGGGGCGTGTAGTCGAAGAGGTGTGAGGTGGGGGGGTCGAGTAGGCCAAGTTAAAAACCATTACGCATTGCCAACTTTGATTGTTTCTCAACAGGGATTTAATTATGGCCCTGTCCAATCGTATTACCACAGTCCAACAACTCGCTCCACTGGCCCGGGGCCCATTCAACTGACCGCAACATAATACAATTTGTCATTTTCAATTTTATTGAATTACCATAAAATGTGCAAGCGACACAATTTATATTTCTGTTTTGGTTACGCGTACCTTCTCCTTCCCCCTTCTCCCCCTTTTCGACCTAACCTCTCTACCATACAACTGCGGTTATCCAAATTTGTTGTTCCGCTAGCCGATGTTGCCCTTGTTTTTCGTATTGCACTATGAATTAATTTATTGTGCGAGTTTTTGCTGGATAGCAAATGATTTACGAGCGACAGGCGAAGAATTTCTCGAATTGTTTTTCCCTTCTCGTTTTTTTTTTTTTTTTTTTTTTTTTGGTGCAAAGGTTAATTTAATCTTGAAATTGCAAAGGTTTTTTTTAATGCACAAATGGAGCGCATTTAGAAAATTTAAAAAGTAAATGAAATACGATGTTTGACGAAGAATTTATATTTGATTGACAGATACAGGCTACAAGCAAGAGATGAAATGAAGTACTATGAGAAACCATTTATGATTGTGTATATATAAATGTGTATATATGAATATATATATCTTTTCTCCTTCAGTTGCTGACATCCTACTACAAAAATATTTACCATTGTACAACTATTCGAGATCAACCTCCTTCAACCTCCTTCATTCTACTACAACCTCTCTTTTAGTTTATTTTTAATTAATTAACAAATAAGCAACGCCCACAATATTTACACAACAAATTCCCAAGATTAGACAGCACAGAAAAGAACTCTGCACACCGAAAAAAAAGCCAAGTTAATTCAATTAATTTCAGCTGCGCTTCGTAATATAATAACTATTGCATTACGTAAGCAAATATAAACAGTAGATTCAACGAAACAAAAATGAAGGAAAGTACACTGCAAATATGTACAGAAAAAACATATATAATTGGGAGAGATGGGGAGGAGAAAGGGGGGGATAGGCTGAGGGAGACGACAACACAGTGGACATACGCTGCCAATCAGCGAAAGCAAGCCACAAAACAAACCAGAAGGCAAATAAAGGCAGATTGAGTGAGTGTGAGGTGCGAGTGTGACGTGAGGGCGTGAGAGCAAGGGCAGGGGGCGTGTCTATACTTCGCACCTACAACGCACAGAGAGCTGAAAATTAAGCAACTAAAGTTGTTATAGGGGGAAAAAATGCTCACATATGAAAATACGTTATCTACATGTGTGGGAGTGTTTTTTTTTTCTGTGTTGCGTTGGGTCAACAGCTGCGCACAGGCGCAAAGATAAACAAACACAGCTCAACTTTGCCTTTTTGGCACTCGACCACAGTGATAAGGCCTGCCTGACAAAGTGACGGACTGACGGACTGACTGACAACCCCGAACCGAAACAGAAAACACCAAAAAGCAAATAAAGTCGCGCATTTCATTTATAAAGCTAGGCGAACTTGGGGACGGGGTATGTGGGGGTTGGGGGATTGGGTTGACTGCTGCTGTTTAATGAACGCACGCATAAATCTTCGAGTGGTTTTGATGTTGATCCCTTTACAGAAAAGCCATCAACATCTTCGCTGACGAGCGAAATCTTCACGCGGTGACGATGGAAGCGACGGCGGCGGCGGCGGCGGCGGCGGCGGTGGCAGCAGAGCCATAAATATGCCAAAATATTAACACCAACACGCCTCCCCCGCCCCCACAAGATATGGCCCATTGGTATTTTTATGTATTTTTAAGTGTTTCCTGCTTCTATATATATGTGGAATATAAATATTTATTTGGCTGTTTTTTGTATATTTGCCATCTTGCCACCTGCGACATTTGGTTTGGTGGGCGTGGCGCAGGCAGCGCATTGGCTAGCCAAAAATATACTATTCTTGGCAAGAGAGTGTAAAAGAGATAGACGGATCTAGAGCGAGCGAGCGAGAGAGAGAGAGAGGGAGAGGGAGAGGGAGAGGGCTAGCTAGAGCGCGTGCTTGTTTTTGGCTATTTATTTTTAGCGGCTTTTTCTCAGACTTGCAATTAAAATTAATTTATTTGGCTATTATTAAGCATTGAAAACATTTATTTTAATTATGGTGCAAATATGTTCGCAATGTGCGTGTGTGTGTGCGCGCGCGAGAATGTGTGTGTGTGTGTGTGGCGTACGTGTGCATGATTATTTAAATGGCAATTTCATATTTTTATGACACTCTTGATGAGCTGGGCGTAAAATTTTGCTGTGGCCTATTAGGAAAATTGCGGTAATTTGGTAGTTGAACAAATTATGCGCTTGGAATTTTCCAGCTGAGCATTTTTCTAATGGAAAATGTGGATGGAATATAGAGAAAAAGCTGGGAGCGCATATATTGATTGAAGTATATGTTTAATTTATTATAATTTATTATTTATTTGGTTCTGAAAAACTTTAGAATTTATTTGCAGCATATACTGGCGAAAATGTGTATGGGATAAAGAGAGACAGCTTGAGGAACATATTTTATATGCGAAGAATGTAGCATATGCTCTTCCAATTGAACAAGTTTCTATTGGAAAATGTTTGACGAATTAAGAATGAGTTATTGTAGTAGTATTTACTTTCTATGGCTTGTCTTCACCTCTCTCCACAATAGACCATAAAAATCCCGTTGCAGCTGAAATGTGCTGCAATGCATATGTTGCTTTGCTACGTTGCCTTAGTGCATGCTAAAAACCAAAGAGCTAACCGAAAATAAAGGCAGGGCTGGGGCTCTAATGCTAAAATTCTATTACCCAAGGCACGTGCGTTGTCTCCCTAGCTAATCGATACGCTGCCGATGATACTCTCTACTCGTGGCAAGTGGTTCGCCCATTCGATGGTTTCTCGCTACGAAAATTGCGTGTGCATTGAATATTATGCAAATTGCAAAGAGTAAAAAAAAAAATAGAAATAGCAAAATATCTTTCAAAATATATAAAAGTTGATGGCGTCATGAATTGTTATGGAAAATGCAATTGAAAATTCAAAGACAAGACAAAATGAGAAAAATTCTACAAAATTGCAATGAAAATAAATTGAACGCAAAAGTTTCTCCACAAAATGCAATAAATTGCAATGCTTTTTGATCTTTTTCGGGTATTTAGAGAGAACTTGGGAAATGAATCATAGAAATGGATGCAGAATTGCACTTCACCTGGCGCGCACTGTACAACATTTGGCAATCATTCTTTAGCAGGTGTATTAAAGTGTAGTAGAGTAGTGTAGTGTGTGTGTGTGTGTCTCTGTGGGTGTAGTGTAGTGTATTTAGACAGTTGTGTGTTTCGAACTGTGTCATAGTTTTTGATAAGTTTTGAAATGTACTTACGGCTCTCAAGCACAACAACATTTTCGGGTATAGAAAACAGCGACTTACCTGTAAAGAGAGTGCGAAAATGGAAAAGAAAATGGTTTAGTTATAATGCTCCAGGGTTAAAGAATTTAAATATAT